AGTATCATCAGCATACTGATGATACCTCATCCCATGATGACGGATGATCTCACCCAGCGGTTTCATGTAGATGTTGAAAAGGAGCGGAGAGAGAACAAATTTATCCCTATTTAATAAATATCTATAGTATGTGTCTCAAAATATATCTTAGAATTATTCTCACTTTTACAAAGAGAATCTGAATAATCTGTCTCACATGTAACCTGTATCTACATAATCAGCCTGTCTTCCTCTCCCTTCCTGCCCACCTCATCCCAATTTAAATCCTATGTTAGTTTATGTTAGCCCTACGACTAAGACCAGATCAGGAAACTGACACCAAGGAAGACTAGAACTAAACTTTATTGAGATAGGCTATACCAACAGAATCTTGCAAGTCTGTTTGTGTTTAACCTTCCTCCCTCTTATATTCCACTGAGTCAGGGAGGAGCAGCCTGAATCTCTTCCTAATACTATCTCCTTTCCCAGGGCTTAAAGAACAAGTTTGCCCTTGTTTCTGTAATGGTTTCTGAATGTTCCCTTTAATGCCACTGCTGTGGCTCTCTACACTTTAGCCACTCAATGGATTAGATGACACTTGTGAAAGCTTCTGCCTTTAAATAAAAGTTGTGGGTCTGAAGAGATACATTAGACTCCTGAATATATGTAATTTGCCACATTTAGGGCTACTGTACCTGAGCAGCAAATCATCAGTTCACCACTAGATGGTAGCAAAGCATTGGCATTTTCTCTGCTGCCATCTAGTGGTTTTCCACATTTATGCAGGCCAGATATGGTAGTCCTAGCCAAATTGTTATAAGTCATATCTGTGCTCAATTATTGTATAATCTTACACATCAGTTTACTTGCTTCATGTCAATTCTGTTGTAGAACATGGAAGAACTCAACTATGAAAAATCCTCTGATAATATTGTGTTAAGACTGATGGTGCTATCACTGCAGTATACCTCGTGTTGGATTATTTTATACTCCAGAAAACAATTAAATTCTAAGTAAGCAAAAAGCTTTAAATTAATTCTTAAGCTTAAGTTCTGGAGTATACATTTTTAAAAAATAAAAGAATTGTGATATTCTTGCACAATTGTTGCCAAAGCAAAGGAGATATTCTGGGATACTTCCATAAATTTAATTTTCTATTTGTTAAAATGTAAGGCAAATTATGAAAGCAGTACTCTAGCCCATTCAAAATAAATCTGCATCTGGCGATTGCTTTGTTATAACTGATGAAACACAGAAATATTTTTATTAATATTTCATGCATTAAAATGTTTATTTAAGCTAGTCAAGTTCCAGCTATTCTGTCTTTATCCACCTCTCACATCCCCATGTATCATTAGCCTTCTTCACCAAAAAATTGTTGTGGTGCATTACTTTAGCTTCAACAGAAATGCTCTGTTCTTGGTGTTATATGGTACACTGAAGCCACAGATTGCCCAGTACAGTACTGTGAACTGTTTTGTAGATATGTCTGTAGTCACACTGCATGTGCATAACTGTAAGACATTAGGGTTCTTTCTGTTTTTATTTTTAGTTCCCAGATGATGGGGCACTGAATCTATTTATACAAACTGGGCAGTAGACATACCAAATAACGTTACCCTGCTGTGAATATTTTTTCCTCAGCAGGTTCATGGGATAAGTCAGGCTGTATGAATTCATCCAGTCATCTTTAGGTTTCCACTTAACTGTAATTAAGTCAAATACAGTGGTACCTCGGGATACGAACGCCTCTACTAACGAACATTTCGGGTTACGACCAGCTTCG